CACCCTGAACTTAAACGAGGTCTGTTTTTATTGATGTACTTGATATTATTCTGTTATTATTTTATTTGATATATTCTGCTATTCTAGTGCAGCAGAAAACTAAGTGGGAGTGTAGACGAGCTACTGAGCACATTAGTTGTTCAGTCTTGCATTGTGTTAAATTGTTATTATCTTGTATTTGTTATACTTGCTTCGAGTTTTCCTTGTAATGTCTAACAAAGAGGAACACTGGCTTAGCAAAGCGGGTCTCAGGTTGGGTCATCTCAATATTTGCCATCTTATGAGGAAGCTGCCTGAGCTGTCCCTTATTCTGAATCAAAATTTCCATATGTTCGGCCTTAGCGAAAGTCGATTAACTGATAACATTTCAGATGAAGACGTATTTATTAAAGGCTTTAAAGTTTTTAGAAGAGACGCGCGTGTGAAACAAGAGACGGGTATAGCTGTCTACATAAGTAATTCCCTTAATGTTCACCGTAGGCAGGACTTAGAGACTAGTGAGGTAGAATGTATATTTTTAGAAGTTAAATTAAAAAATCACAAACCCATCATGGTTGGTTACGTCTATCGAAACCCTAGCGCTGGGGCTATGTGGTATGACAACTTCACCACCATGATGGATCCATTGTTTACCAGTGCCAATGAAATCATACTTTTAGGAGATTTTAATATTGATGCTCAAAAATCAAACAAAACATGGGAAAATATAGTTGCATCATATAATCTCCAACAATTAGTTGAGCAGTCTACTAGAGTAACGAACTCTTCCTCAACCATTATAGATCACATATATGTAACATGCCCAGAAAACATCATAGAATGCAAGGTCCCCAACTGTACAATGAGTGATCATTTTCCAACTTGCATCACGTGGAGTAAAAGAGGCACAAAAATCCCAAAGCATAAACATATTAGCATAAAATTTAGAAGTTATAAAAATTTCAGTCAAGATGCATTCTTAAAAGATTTACTTGATTCCCCCCTGAACCATGTTTATCAACTTCCTGATCCAGATAAAGCCATGGAGTATTGGTTGAAGACCTTCCTTGGGTTGTTTGATAAACATGTACCAATGAAGGAAGTCCGAGTAAAGCATCAGAGTAAATCACCATGGATTACCCAGGAAGTAACTGAGATTATAAGACAGCGAGATAGGGCACATAAAAATAAGGACTTAGTAACATATAGGATTTTGCGTAATAAAGTTCAATACATCATTCGAAAGGAAAAAAAAGAATTTCTTTACAAAATTAGTAATTGATAAAACAAATAGTAAAGATATATGGAAGGCAATTAACACCTTGACTAACAGAAACAATTCATCACGCTTGTTATCATCAAATCATGTTACATCTGAAGATTTCAGTAATTTATTTCAAACAGATATAGAGCAGTTGAAGGCTTCAATACCACATTATCCATGTGATTTATCCTTGCTGTCCTTGTTTTGTGAGACTAAATGCTCAAATGACATTCATTCTGACATGCGGCTCATGTCAGTTACTGAAGTATTTACATATCTTACTAGTCTAAAAAGCAGTAACGCTTCAGGTTTAGATGGAATCAGCAATAGGATCCTTCGGTGTGCTGCATCAGTTGTCTGTGAGTCGTTAACGTTTATATATAACCAGTGTCTTGCCAAAGGCTATTTTCCTTCAGCTTTTAAAATTGCCAAAGCATATCCTCATCTTAAATCTGGCTCTTTGGACAGTAGTCTCCCAAGTAGCTATAGACCCATCTCCTTATTATCATCATTATCAAAACCGCTAGAAAAACATATTCACAAAATAACCCTCCAACATCTAGA